CCGTGGCGCGATCCCTGGCAGAGGCGGGCCGAAGCGGGTCAGGAGAGCAGTGGATGGAAGGGGGAGGCTGGGAGTTGACAGTGTTTGTTGCATGGGGGGAGGGGTTGGGCCCAGGGCTTTACTTTCCAGGCTGGGGGGTGGGCGTGAGATCTCCCGGCCCTGCGCTGTCGGGGAAGTAGGGGCTTTGCCGTTCCTCCCAGCTTCCTGGATGGAGAATCCACCCCGAGCCCTCCCCTCTGCTCACTGGTCTGCAGAGAGCTCCTGGCCCTGGCGGCCGCAGAGCCCCCGTGGGGAGTCGCTGCTGAAGCCAGGCGGGGGTGGCCCGGCACCGGGGGTCAGGCCCAGCAGTGACGGGCCCGGCTGACGCAAGGCTGGCTGGGGAGTGCTGGGTGGGGGTGGGAATCTGGCGAGACGTGGCGCACGCCCTCCCCCCCCCAGGGAACGCCCGGCCTGTCTGCCCAGCCCCACCCTGGGGTGGGCGTCTCCTGGGCCGCTCCGCTCCGCCCCTGGCTGCCCCCGTGCTGGGGCAGGTCTCCGCTTTCAGCCCTGCCCCCTTCTCAGCTTTGCAGAAAGTGAGTGGTGGGTTTTGTTTGTGGCATCAGCTGCTCTGCTGCTCCCCTCCCATTAGCAGACTTAGCCGCTGGCAGGGCCTGTCCCTCCCCCACCCAGCCTGTGTGGGCTGATCCTCGTCTGAGCTGGGGCTGGAAAGCCCCAGGCAGGGCGGGCGGGAGAAGGGCGGGCCAAGGAGGCCTTGGAGACATCTGTGGCTCTGGTTACATCAGCTGTTTAACCCTTCCCCTCCCCTGCCCTGGCTCGCTGGCTCGGGGGACTGGCAGGCGCCCCTACAAGGAGAACCCCAGAATATCCGGCTTGTCCCGAGGAGAGACGCCTGGTCACCCTTATTCCGATGCCCGTTTTCCTCCGGGGGCAGCCCCTGGGATTCGTCCCATTCCTTTGTCTGGCTAGACTTGCGCCTCTCGGGATCTGTGTGTGTGTGTGTGTGTGTGGGGTGGGAGGGGGGGGTCTGGCTGCTGTTCACATCTGGGGGGGCTGGTGGTGTTCGCAGGGGGAGCAGGGTTTGGGGG